TCCTCATCAAAATCGTTCGAGCTTATAACAATTATCTCAGAAGGTGGAACGTTTGCCAATGACTCATCATTGTTGGATTCATCTTCATACAGAACCATGAACTAGAACACATCATTAAGTACTGCAAGGCTTCACTTGAAATCTTGTTCAAGTTGGGAAAGGAACAACAGAAAATGGATCTCCTACTATTTAGGGGGTTGACTTTCTCATCATTCCAAGAAATTATGATGGGAAAAATGAAGACGAACCGGGTATTGGCAGAGACTCATTCAAATTCAACGGTTCATTGCTTTCCATGGACGAGCGCATTATCTCGATATGGTCGTATTAAATGAAACTGTTTGAAATATTTGATGTATAAAGTGTCACAAAGTTGGAGAAGTGTTTAAGTGTAACTGAGAAGAAAGTTATGTCATACTATTTATAATCAAATTCTTGGAAGGAAGCAATTATGGTCATTTAGAATACAACCATCAAATCACAGCTTTAAGTGTTGCTTGGGTGACAATTGGGTTGATGGTTTAAGGTTTAAGTGTACTTTTATCCTCCAAACTTTGTTCATAATTTATGGAAAATGCAAGTCCTAAAAATCATGTGTACCATTTTATCATAAAATTTCCTGCATATAATTGTTAGTAATCAATTTTATGGAAAATGTGAATCATAAATCATGTGTACCATTTTATCTTAAAGTTTCCTACATGTGGGTAATCAATTTTCATAAGTACTTTTGTATCTAATTTGTAACAAAGTCCAGTACTTTTTTTTATCTTACTTGTAACATGGTCCAAAATCTTTTTGGTATTTAAACTTTTCATAATCATATTTCAATTAAAAAATTCAACAATTTTGTCTTGTGCTAATCAAACAATTCAATAAGTACAAGAAACAAGAAATGACAAAATGTGTACCAACATGTGGATGCAACCATTAAATCATGTTTATAACCATATTCTTGAAGAGAAGAAATGGGGTCATTTAGTAAACTGTCATAAATTGATTCTAACATAGCATTAACAAACTTTGTCACACTATTTCTTTACTCTCTTTCTCCTCTTCTTGGTATATGGAGTCCTAGTAGATACTGTAAGAATCGAATGCGTGTCGATCAATGCCTCTTTGTGTTAACAACATCGTTGCCTTCGAAGGGTAAGGTGGCCATCTCCATCACTCCACAAGCTAAGGAAACTTTTTCGTTGTCCAAGCATGACACTTCGGACTCTGTAGCTCCTTCATCTACTTGAAAACAACATTTACAACACTAACCGACATGAGTTCAATATTTCTAAATTGTAAACTATGGAATGAGATGAAAGTATTTAAAATTTTAAATTCCTCAAAATTGTTGAACATATCATTCACCTCCTATTTTCCACTGGGCAATGGACCCTCATAATCATCCGAGCATGAGTTGATGCCTCCTCCATCTAGTTGAAAACAACAATCACAACATTAATGGACATGACTTTAATATTTCTAGTTCGCATACTACAGAATAAGATGAAAGTATTTAAAATTTTGAATTCCTCAGATGTTAATACAAAATACGTATGTAAGAAAGCAAAAACAAATGTATAATGTTCGAGAAATACTACCTTTACCTATCGAGAACGACAGTCCATATCAACAGATCACTCATCTGTCGATATTTAGTCATCTGTCGATAATAACTAAAATGAAATGATGGGAACAACATTTTATCGCGACAAATAGGTCACATAACTAATCTGTCAAGAAATTCTCATGTGTCAAGAATTCATAACTTTCCAGACTTTCATTGTGACAAATTAAACAGTTCACTTAAAAGATTTGGTACTCATGCCTAACCTAGAAAAATGTAAGAAACAAGATAGGTTGAAATGACAAGGTTCTATGCTATCAACAGAAGCTTACCAACTTAGATGGTAAGTGTTTAGACGAACTATACCTTAAGTGAGAGGGATTTGCTAGACGAATGCTAGAGCTCCAATTTAACCATAACTGTTTGGGAAAGTTAAGGTTGTTACTCCTACAATACTATTACAATATAGTGTGGTGTATGCATATTGATTTTTATTTGTTCCTCAAGTAAATTAAAGTATAAAACGATGTACAAAATGCTAATTTTTCATTTTTCATTCACCATCTAATATTTTTCTAACTTGAATAGTCCATGACAATATTTATAGGATATTTCGATGACTTTTCAATATTAGTAGGTAGCTATAAAAAGTAGTGAACGAAATCAAATTCTTTTATTTTGGGGGACGATTAAAATCTGATTTTTATTTTAAGGTACAAGAAATTAGAATGCTACGTATAATATAGCAATCAATTTCTACAAACCAAACAAACTCGACTAAATACGAAGTAAAAAAAATTGACAAAACTTGAAATATTTCTTTTAGAAAAGTATGAAAAAGATTTCATATATAATATAATAAAAAATTAGAAAAAATCAAAATCCCCAACAAAAAATGGAGAAATCCAAACTACATGTAAATGTACACCCGGAACAAAGTCATTGAGAAGAACGAACCCAAAACGAAGAACAAACTAACCCACGGTCTAGATGTAGAGAACTAAAAATTGATAGCGCAATCTAAGAGAAAGATAAAAAAATTAGGAACATTAATAAAAAAGAAAAAAAAATTGAAACAAAACCTTCAATCGATCGAAAAAAGAAATGCACATACTTGAAACCCTACCTAAGATATTCTTTTTCCATCTATACTAATGTGAAAAACAGGATCCCAATGCAAAAACTTGCATTCAATATAATTTTCAAAAAATCAAGAGAGGAAATATAAAAAAGAAGAAAGGTGAAATTTTGCAATGATTGTGTGGAGAGTAGAGTAGGTGATTGAAATGAAAAATAATAATTATAGGGGCAAAGAAATGTATTGAAAAGAGAAAAATGAATGAATTTATGGTTAATAAATTTTGCTCATATATATATATATATATTTGTGTGTGTGTGTGTGTGTGTTTTTTTTTTATTTTTTTATATTGTAGTGATTTTGAAGTACACTTGTGAGGTGATTGATTGTTGCATTCACTTTTTGTATAATTTTTTTATATTGTCAATTCAAAGGCGTGTAGAGTATTTAAATTTTATGAGGGCAAAAAGGTCCAAAAATGATAATCTTGAAAATTTTTTGAAAAAAATGATATTTTTCAAAATACAAAAACAAAAATTGACATGGAGAGAAATGGTACGGCGAATTTTTCTCATCTTGAATTTGGAAAGAAATGGTATTTTACTTTTCCGTTTTCCCTATGCTCTAGAGGAGTTAATTGTTCCAATGGTCACTGAATTTAGGTCCATTTTTTTTGTTGGCTGCTAAAGTTTAAAATGTCGAGTTTTGTAACTGAACTTAGTTTCATATCTTCGATTGCTCATTGAAATTTAAAATGTCGAGTTTTAATCACTAAACTTTGAAAAATATTGTACATTACTCACTGAACTTTAGAAAATATTGTTTATTACTTACTGTAAATTCGATATTTTTTAAAATTCAACAGTTATACTAGTAAGTAATGTATGGTATATTTCAAAATTTAGTGAGTAATGTACAATATTTTTCAAAATTTATTGACAAAAATTTCGATTGCTTACTGAAATTTAAAATATTGAGTTCTGACCACTAAATTTTGAAAAATGTTATACTTTATTCATTGAATTTTGAAAAATGTGGTATATTATTCACTGTAAACTCGATATTTTTCAAAGTTCAATAATTATGTTAGTGAGTTACTTACGACATATTTCAAAATTCGATGAGTAATATATAACGTATTTTAAAATTCAATAATCAAAATTCGATATTTTAAATTTCAATAACCAATAAAAAAACATGATTATATTGGAACAAGCGCTTCCTTTACTCCATAAATACACTGAACTTGTCTTCGTCTTTACGTTGAATTTTCTCTTCGAGATCTTTACTTTTTTGTCTTCAACCTACGTTCTCCGTTTTCTCTTTTTAAATCATTTTAGGTACGTTTCATTTAATCTTTCTGGGATTCTGTTTTCGTTCTGTTCCGTGCTTTTTTCTTTCTTTTCTTTCTTTTTTTTTGCATATATGCTGCACGTTTCCGAAGATTTTGTATATAGATATGTGCATTTTTTTGTTCTCGTCAAGAATTAGTTGTACCAGGACGAAATTTTAACACTTCGTGATCGATGCAAGCTCACACGGCTCTAGTTAGTGAATTTCTGTTTATGTTTAGGCTTATTTTGTTCGATTTCGATAGATATTTCGTATACAGGAACGGTCATGTTCACCTGCATAAGCGAGTGTTCTTTCTATTTTGATCGTTCCGTATTCGTGAGGTGGTTTGATGTTTTAACTTTTTTATTATTATACTTGCAAAAATACTCCCCTTTGCACACTTGTAAATATGTGAAATTCTGTAAACTTTAGTTTCGAGCTGATATGTGTGATCCCATTGTATTCATTTGTGCTTTCAGTGCAAAACATGGCAGCTTTTTTCTTCTCCCTTACGAATACTCTATCTTAGGCTTTTAACGGTTTTTTCCGATTTACTGTTCGAATATTTATTGATAATTCCATAGTTTCGTCTGTGCCTGAATGATAAGTGTTATAGCAACAAATGACAAGTCGTTTGATATTATGGTACAAACAAGAGGTTATAACTTGTTCGATTTCAAAGGTTTTTTCCCCGTAGATTGCAAGCAATTTTTACCCCTTTTTTACCATTAGTGTTGTTGCAATTCCATCAGAATATTTTTTTGTTCTACTTAATCTATTCTTCCTTTTTATCTGAAAAACATACCTAATTGTATATATATATCATCACACAGACAATATTATTGTGCCTTCTTATCATATAAAGTAGATCACTTGTGCAATCTGGATTGTAAAGTTAAGCCCCTATTTGATGGAGACTAAAATTAGATTTTTAGTAAATTTTAATTTTAATAAAAGTTGATGAATGAGTGGTTGAAAAGTTGTGGGACCCATGAAATATGTGGTTAAAATTCATTGTTAACTTTGACTTAAATTAAAATCTGAATTTTAATCTGTAACAAACATGGGCTAAATAATGATTTTTGGATTTTGTGGATCACCTGATGTAAAAACTTAATATGTTAGTGAGGCTGCATGTTATAACATTATAATTTTGTTTTCAACACGCCCTCGTGTTTAGTCGGGGTTCATTTTTTCATCAAAGCGTTAACACGTGCAAACAGGATTTGGGGTAGAAAAATTATTATTCCTTGTATATAAGTTCACAATATATATATTAATTTACAGTATATATGTGGTAATAAATGAAAGTAATGCGATCAAATCGCCCAAATCTAAGTAATTTGATCAATTCTCTGCAATCTAGGATTTTCCTCCAATTTCAGTATTTCAATTTTTAAAAATTTCCTATAGCTGCTTCATAAACTATGCAATGGAAACCAATTTATTCAACATGTAGATGATTTTGTAATCTATTAATATGTGAGTAGAAATTTGTTCTGTTTGTAGTTTTGAGTTATAGGCTTATAGCTTATTCTCCATAGAGCATGATAGTGTTGTTGTTCTTATTTCACCTGTTCCACTGCAAGCCTTATTAGCATTAGATTGGCCAAGTAAGCACATATGGTTTTGAAAAGGAAGAGGATTTATGACTTAGAATGCAACAAACAAAGAACTAAAATTATAAAAGAAGGGGAAAGGAAGAAGAATAAGAGAAGAGAAGTGGATATTAGGGGGAGAACATATGTTTGTAAATAGTCAAGTTTAAGTATTACATTGCATAGACCGTCATTGAAACTATAATAAACTGAAGTGAGCTGATCTAAATCAAACTATCTTTTCCTAATCCACTAAGAATATCTTTTATCTTCATTCACCATCATTTCAATTCCTATGTGATTTTTAAAATGAAGAGAGACGTTTAATCCATATTTTTGATATGCAACTTGGAGTTATGACACCACCTATTGAGACACCAAATAAAACTCTCTACCCTCAGATGTCATCACATCCACCTCTTAATGAAAGGATACTCTCCTCCATGAGCAGGAAAACAGTGGCTGCCCATCCTTGGCATGATCTTGAGATAGGTAAATTACAATTCCTAGATTGTAAAATCTAGACTAGTGTGCTAGAGCTTAATATGTCTTTATTATTATTTGCAGGACCTGGAGCCCCAACAGTTTTCAACTGTGTAAGGACATTGAATTCTCTCTAGGTCTTTACATAGTTATTTGTTGGTCTAAAATAGAGAAACTAACTAAAGTTGAAAAATGCCTTATGAGCCCCCGTTTGGCCCCCATTCTCCTTCTCATTCTTTCTCTCTCACTCTTATTTTCAACCATACAATTTTCCATAAAATAATATTATCCCCAAATCAAAAATTTTTCGTTCTTTTTCAACCACACATTTTTCAAAAAAACACTATTCCCACCATTAAAATTTGAAAAGAATGGGGCCAAACGGGGGCTGATTCTATGCTTTCAGCTTGAATAAATGTGAATATCATCTTATGGTTAAACAGTTGGTAAGTCGTAACATTTTAGATGAAATAACCTTATCTGATAAGCATGCCAATCTGGTTTTAGGCTTGAACTTGTTACCCTTAAATAAAAGAGAAACATGTAACTTGCCTCACTGAAATTGTCTAAGCTTTTTTCCGAGCTGACTTTTGAAAAAATGTTTTGCTATTTCACTCCATCAAATTTCTCATTTTTTCCCCATTTGTTTTGATTCCATTCTATGATAATTTTGATCCACCTCTATTAACCCCTTTTTTATCTTTTATAGATTTTTTTTTCATTTTTTTTCTCTTCATTGGATATATCCAGTTTGAAATTTTGTCAATCAATCTAAGTCTACTTTGTTATTGATGCCTCTTTTAGCCATGTGACCAATATTTTGATTTTCAATTTTGTGTCCTGGTCACTCCCATTCTGACATTATTACTGCAAAAATAAATATTGTTGGATAAAATGTTATCAAACCTATGCAATTCACTCTATTGCTGTAACAAATAAATGCAGTTTGCTTGAAATAGTTATCATGTCACATTTAAGTTTTGGGTGCCAGATGCAATTATACTAAAATACTTCTCACATTTTTAATGAAATTGCATCTTTTTTCTACTATTACAAGAGTTGATTCTTAAAATTGCTAATAATCACCCGACTCTGCTCCACATTTTCATGTAAACATGTCAACTGAGTATTATTTGGATCAAATGTCCTTTGGTATTTTCTTTATGCTTATATATTCTGTCTAGTTAATGGATTTTGCTTGCTTCTCAGAAAGAAAATAAAATTGCTTTTAGGTTAATGAGCTGATTCATTGGTACTTTGTAATTTACATTCATTTTGACTTCTAATGTGAATTTCTTTCACTGAAGTGGATTAGTTGATAACCATCTACTATCATTATGCTTTCTTTTATGGAAGTTTTAGAGCTGAGATGAGTTTGCTGCTTGTCTTCCCTTTTCTCAGCTGATGAATTTGTGGAGAACATTGGTATATTTTGTATTTAAGGAACTCAAATAAACTAGGTTAATACCTGCAGGTGATCGAGATTAGTAAGGGAAGTAAGGTGAAATATGAACTTGACAAGAAAACTGGTCTAATCAAGGTACCTGGTGCATAAACTTCTAATGCAAGCTGTAATAAAATTGTGAGTTCTGAAATGCTTATGCTACTGCAGGTTGATCGCGTTCTTTACTCATCAGTTGTATACCCTCATAATTATGGTTTCATTCCTCGTACTCTTTGTGAGGACAATGACCCTATGGATGTATTGGTCATCATGCAGGTATGCTCTTTCATCTGGAATTTTTTTGCTAGTACTCCAAAATATTTGTGATTTGTGGATGTAAAAAGGATGCCTGCAATAATTTGATAAGATGTATGTGACAAGTACACCTTAAACCTGGGATAATTTTCAAATTTTAGTGATCGAACAGCTACCAAGATGAATGCATAAGGTGCCCACCTAATTTTTGAGAAAAGAGAAGTTCAGAAGATAATGTGCTAGACTAAAGGCTTTTAAAAATACAAATTTGTATCCGAGCTTAACATAAATTTCAAATGGAAAAATGTATTAATCTGACCAACTAATATTAACTTTTGCCTGCTTTTATGCTGCACACATGGATGTATTTGATATACTCAACATACTCAATATCTTGCAGATGGTTTTTTCAAACTCTGATTTCTTAAATGTTTTTAACTTTTGATGACATTGTTTTTTCATGCATGCGACTTTTCTTGATGCCCAACCATATGGATACATAAACAGGAACCAGTTGTTCCAGGGTGCTTTCTCAGGGCAAAAGCAATAGGCCTAATGCCCATGATTGATCAAGTACGTATTATATTTTACATGTAAATGATATTCATTTTTATTGTTCAGAGAAATATGAGTTTGCCTTGGAACACAGGGAGAGAAAGACGACAAAATAATTGCTGTCTGTGCCGATGACCCTGAATATCGGCACTACACAGACATAAAAGAGCTTCCACCTCATCGTTTGGCTGAAATTCGTCGATTCTTTGAAGATTGTATCCTTTCAAATCAGAACATAAATTCTATATAGCATAAACTTTCTATTTTGCCAAAAAGTTCTTATTTCATTATTTAGTGTGTTATGAATTCGCAGCGTCGTCAGTATCAACGATATGAACATTTTCTCTTAACACTTGATCAGACAAGAAAAATGAGAACAAGGATGTTGCAGTTGATGATTTTCTGCCAGCAACAAAGGCCTATGAAGCTATCCAGCGTTCCATGTAAGTGGTGATGAACATCATTCATCCCCTTTTTGCCGTTTCAAAATATGAGTTAAACAGTGCAACGAAAAATGTTACTAAAACATATCTATAAAGAGAGAACATTTTTGCCTTCATATAGATTTATAAGAGGAAACATGCAAAGAAATAAATAACCTAACTTCACTCTCCTACAACGTATAGCATAAATTCAAATAAGGGGTACATATAGCTTAACATATGCAAACATAAAAATATCTCCCCCTTCCATTCTCGTGTTTCACTATTTTTTACGATGCTTGTACTATTTGCTACTGAAGTAAATATAGCTCTAGAACTCATTGTCAGTCTTTTTGACAATTTTTTTGCCCATGATCAAGTGGCTTTTATCCGAAGATTATTGATTTCATCACGTGATCATGGACATACGATGGACTTGCTACAATTCTGTCAATTGTCATTTGCTGTCATGTCCTTGTAACTTTGGATGCCAGTATGCCACCGTTGTCATTTGAGTTTGATCGGGTACATATTTTTCTTAATGTACAGGAGCCTCTATGCAGACTACATAGTGGAGAACTTACGACGCTAGTTTGTTCTCTTCTTGCAATCAATGGGCGAACCATGAAGCTCATATTACTAGACGAATAGTTATCTATACTATATCATGATGATCATGAAAAACTACAATTACTATTACAACGTTGAACCAAATACAAAGTAACAAATATTTGTCTGTCAATGCAATTTTCTATTGTATGATCTTCCCGTTTGAAAGACTGCCACTGTGTATAAAGATTAGGATTAAGTTTTGATGAACAACATATCATGCACCTTGACATTTATATCAGCATGAAGCTCAAATTAATTTTGACATAATGAAGAAATGATACAATCGTTTCTTGTCATTCTACTTAACAAATCAGGTTCCATGCAATATGCTCTTGTGATGCAGCAAGAAACACGAAATAGTACAAACGCAAAAACAAAGCTCGTTGATTCCGAAGGAATATTGAGCATATAACTATAAATACTAGAATTTTCGCTTGGATTCGAACCCATGGCTGATGATAGAACTAGAATAGATTGTTGATTTGGTTGAACATTGTGAACACACGACATTGCTTAAATACCGAATCTGGTTGGTTAGCAGTGGAGTCTTCAAAATGAGAGACACCCCTAGTCATCAATTTTCTTACCATCGATTTAAGTTAATATTGTTCAAGAAAATTGATGACTATTAGGCATGTACTTTGATTCTTAAGATAGTTTTCTCTGTGAGTGATGTTCTACAAATCATCTACATTTCATTTTATACAAGGTAGAGACATAGTTTTCAATGTAATTGAACTCGGAGAAAATTCTCACAGTAAGTTGTATTGAATATGAAGTCAATTGTCATATGATTAATTTCTGCATAATGCTTGGAATTGATTGCACTTCTTGCTGCCTGTGTGAGATCCATAAATAAACCTAATTTCTTACAGATCAATTCAAAAAATGAAATAAAAAACAGATCAACTAAGCTCTATAATTTCTCCAATCAACAACATAGAGAGAAACATTAATGTTATTCTAAGAACTTGTAAATTTCGTAACAGCTTTGGTACCTTCAGAAACCGCATGTTTCGCCAACTCGCCCGGTAAAACAAGCCTTACAGCAGTCTGGATCTCACGAGAGGTGATCGTAGGTTTCTTGTTGTAGCGAGCCAATCGCGACGATTCCATTGCGAGCTTCTCAAAAATGTCATTGATGAAACTGTTCATGATTCCCATGGCCTTACCGGAAATTCCAATGTCTGGATGCACCTGCTTCAGAACCTTGAATATATAGATTTTGTATGTTTCGCTGCTCTTCTTGATCTTTTTCTTCTTCTTACCATCGGCACTGGGCCCGCCTTCCTTCGAGATCTTCTTCTCCGCCGTCACCGGCTTCTTCTCTGCCGGCTTTTTCTCCGCCTTCGGTGCCATTAAGAATGAATGGATGAAGGTTTGAAAATACAATTTGAATGACAATTAGAAGGCGCTTTAGGTTGTTGGTAGGGAGGCGGATTGTTTATATATAGAATAATAGCGGATTCCCATTGGCTGATAGAGTGTGTTGCGGATCCATGACTTGGCTTTTCTTTGTCCGTTAGATTAGGATTTCGGGGTTATGTATGTGGGATAATTTCGTTGCCAAGCTGGATATTGTAAGAAATGGGACCATTAACTCAACTACTGGCCACTTCGCAAGCCAATTCGTGTGGCTCATGAGTCAACAAGCATCTCAAGCGGGATTTTTGGTCTAGGCTTAGCCCGCTAGTCGTTTCCAAGTCTAGCCGAGCGATGAACGACTCATCACAATTCTCATTCCTAAGTGTGCATTTTATTAGAAAGAGATAGAAATGAGTGGTGAGTGATACTTATGGTCCATGTGTGTTTTAAAAATGAAGTTTGATTATTTATAAAAAATTGAATAAATTGCACTTAGTGTCCTTTGCATTTGAAGGTTATGATGATATATTCCCAACCTTTGATTTCAAGCACTTGGGTCCCAAAACTTTCAAATATTTGGTTCTTTTTAGATGGAAAAATTAGATTGGCCTTTAAAATGTCAAATTTTAAATAAAATGAACCATATACCATTAGTTTGATTAAAAAGATTAATGTTAAACGTACAGAAGAGGGATTCACATAACCCCTCCACATCAGACACATGGGGTCCACCCCATGAAATTAAAATATTGCCAAAAAACCTCACCCAACCCACCTCTTATGTTTGATCTCTCGATTAAAAATAAATAAAGAAAAGAAACAAAAATATATCTCATCATCTTATCCGCGATCCAAGTGCACCTCACGTCGCCTCATCATCATCTCCTTCCACCCTACTATTGGATGGGATTTATTTTTCTATGAACTGATTCTTAAATAGTAGAGGCAAATTAGGCAAAGACAAAATAAGTGCACATTAATACATCCAATTTCAAGTGCTCATATTGTGAAAAAATCATAAGCAAGAGCTCTCTAGTCACTCGCACCTCGTACATTGCTTATTCCAGCCTGTTTTGAATTCTCATTTTTTGGTATGACATTACTCATAGCGGTAATTGGAAACTTTAATAGTAAAAATATATATTATTGATTTGAGTTGAATACTTTCTATTGATCTTTGAATTTGGTGGTATAGCGCGTCAACTGAATTCTAGCATCTTCCATCCCACGAATATGTTATTTTCACGCTTGATCACATGTTTTAGAGCACAAACCACGATACCTCTCCAAGTAGGAAAATGGAGGTGTAGTGATTGTGTGCACTTCGACATTAGAATCAAAGGTCAATTGAAACACAAGTACATGAGAATAATTTTGGCATGGGAAAAACTCGCAAACACGAGAATTTGGAAAGAAAGTCAAAGTTTAGAAAGACCAAGATCGAATTTCCTAGACTCTGAATCCTCTTCATGTGAGAAATAGCTTGAGTATTTATAGGCAAAAGGCATTGGGTGAGAGGCCACTTAGATGCGTGATATGTGGTTTCATCTCAACAACTTATTTGTGTCATTTCAGAAGCGTTACTTCTAGCCATCATAAACATGTGGCGACTTTTCCCTCCAAAGTAAAGTAACGAAGATTTTGCTGCAAGCACCTTTGTATGTTATCAAATCAATCACTTCGGCAACGGATTGCCACTTGCCAAGTCACTTGGGAAGGGAATCAAGGGATCAACCTCATATGGCTCGAACTCAAGAGGTCTATTTCATAAAGCAAATGTTGAGCCTCCTCCCATTACCTTGGAGTAAAGGGTCGAAGCTACAACTTCGTTTGATGCCTTGGAGCTAAAGTCATCTGAGGCCCAAAGGTGGCAGTGGCAATGGTGAGGCTTTGCATCGTCTTGTATGGTGTCACCTCCGAGGCCTTGGATTGGCCTAAAGAGGTTCTGCTAGGGGTGGCAAATGGGTCGAGTGGCTCGTCGGCTCGCGAAAACGGAGCTCATGGGTGGCTCGAGCTCATAAAAAACGAGCCCGAACGCGAGCCGACCCAATTCGGTGGGTGAACCGAGCCCGCTTGGCTCACACAAAAACGAGCCGTTTGCAGCGAGCCAACGAGCGGCTCGTTTGGAAGCTCTTATGAAAATGTGACCGTTTCGGTCACTTTATGAACGGTCATTGACTTTTTGTCAGTGACCGTTTCAGTCCCTCATTTATTTATTTATTTTTTTTCCTTTTTTTGACCGTTAACGGTCACTGAATTTTTTCAGTTTCAGTGACCGTTTTGGTCCTTAAATTTTTTTTTCCTTTTCTTCTATAAATAGCCACAAATTCTTTTACAATTCTCTCAACTCTCAATTATCTTTCTCTCAAGTTTCTTGTATTGTGTTGATAACTTGCAATTTTTATATACATTTATACAATATCCAATTCTCATTTCTCAGTTCTCACTATATTTATTGAAATTTCATCCAATTTTTATTTCTCACTACATTTATACAATTATTCTTCTACTAGTTATTACTTATTACAACTAAACAAATGGATTCACGCTCATTTGTCGAAAACTTGTTCGGTGTGGGAGGAAACAAATCGCCTATGACACCGCAAAGTCAATTTCAGAATCAATTTGAAGGTCTAAATGACGTACCCCTACCTGAAAATATTTCAGATTTAGATCTTCATCATCATGTAAGCGGCAATCCAAATTTATCCAATTAATTTGGATGATGTTGACGTTCCCAAAGAGGAATACAATCAGAAAGAAGAGGTTGAATTAAACACTCCTGATGCGAGAGGAAAGCGAAAGGGGGAAAAACAAGCAAAATGTTGGGATCACTTTAAGTTGATTTCAACGGAAAAAATCGTCAATGGAGTCTAAGAATCCAAAGCAGTATGTAAATACTGCCAACAAAGATTGGCATGGCAAAGAGAAATTGGTACCACCCATCTCAACTGTCATTACAAAGTATGTGCGGCCAAACACTGACTTATTCCAGGCTGTCAAACACAATTGCAATTTGGCAGTCCAGACGCCGATGGTTCTATTGCACCCCTATCCACATGGGTGTATTCGGAGGAGAAAACTCGGACCAGGATGGTGAAGCTTGTTGCTGGTGCTGAGTTGCCTTTGGCATTAATTGACAACCAACACTACGTCTCGTATGTGAAAGAATATCTACAGCCAAGGTACATTTGGGTAAGTCGAAACACTCGTCGTTCTGATACAATACAGTATTTTACTTCAACAAAACAACAATTAATTATGAATTTGCAAAAATATGAGGGTGCCATATCTTTAACTTCAGATATATAGGAAGATATTAATAAAAGAGCATATATAGCTACAACTGCACATTATATAGACCCACTTTGGTGCATGTATAAAAAAATTATTACTTTTAGAATTATTGAGTTTTCTCACAATGCTAATAATATATTTAATGCTATTATTAGTATTGTTAGAGAATATCATTGCGAAAGTAAAATTCGTTCATTTACTTTCGATAATGCTAGTGTTAATAAAGTAGTTGCTGAAAAATTGCATAGGGTACTACAACCTGATTTTGGTAGATATTTGTTTCATATTTGTTGTGTATGTCATATTTTGAATTTAATTGTCCAAAATGGTTTAAAATATATAAAGGCTGAACTTCAAAATATTAGGAACGCACTAATATATATATCACAATCTCTCCTAGTAGAAAACAAACATTTGAGGATTATTGTACCGAAATAAAAGTGCAAAATACTAAAATATTTGTTAGCGATGTAGGTCATAGGTAGAACTCTACTTACTTGTTGTTAAAGTCATGTGAAGCTTTTAAACATTTAATAACTAACTTTTATAACAATAGACATGTTAGAAGTGATGACGAGGGTATGTTAACTGAACGTGATTGGTATTTAGCTTTGAAAGTTAAAAAATTTTTGACATCTTTTTATGAAACCAATAAGTTTTTTCGGCCGTTTACTATCCCACCAGCTGTATGGTGCTTGGACGTCTTTATATAATTGCAAAAACATTTCATAAATACAGAAATGACCCTGATTTTAGTGAAATTATAATTGCTATGGAATTAAAATTTAGAAAATATTGGGAAGATTTGCCCATGTTATTTCCTTTAGCATGCGTGATGCAACCCCGATATAATTTATCGAGAACTAAATATATAATTGATCAAATTTCAAACGCCTTAACATTTGATACACCTGTCACATATAGAAATTTAGAGCAAACATTATGTAAAATGTATGAATTATATGCAAACCGAATGGGTACCAATATTAGTCGGGTACCATCTGCACCTACTCCTTCCACTGAAATTGAAGAAGAAGATACGAAAATATTTAATTTATTTCAAGGCATTAATTCGTATAGATTTGATTCATCTACAATGTGTTCATCTACTACCACTGCCATGTCATCACCATCTGTATCTCATTCTCATCATACATTTATAGGCTCAAGTCATAATGCATTGCCTGCTAAATTAATTGATTATTTCAACCAGAATATGTCAACAGATAAAATAATTAAAAAAAATTCAGACGAAGTAATTGAATTCTGGCGAAGGTATAAACGACGTTGGCCAGTTATATCTGCGATTGCAAAAGATCTGCTAGCACCTCCGATTAGCACTGTTGCTTCGGAGTCTGCTTTTAGTGCAGATAAGAGAGTTTTGAGCGAGGTTAAGAGCTGACTGAAAGAAGATATTTTAGAAGCCTTAATGTGCATTAAAGATTGGCAGGACGCTCATAATATACCGAAATTCCATGTCGTCAAGTAAGTAATATTTGATTTAATTATATTAATGAAATTTTTCTTTTTTTATCGTTACTTTTAATTTTCTTTAAAAAATTTTATACGCTACAAAAAATTGTTCGTGTACAATTTTTAACTCCGCCTACTGAAAATTTAAGGAGCTAGTCCCAAGCCCAGATAAATGGGGAGGGTTTATATTTTATCTATTTTAAAAAAGAAAATAAAGCTTTCATATTTATTTTTTCTATCTCTTTTAGTTAAAAAAAATTACTTTTTTATTTTTCAAATTACCTATTTGTTCTATAAAAATAATAATAATAAAATTAAATTAAAAATGACGTCTACTCGCGAGCCGGGCTCGGCTCGGCCGTCAAGCTTGTGCTCGTTATGAAACGAGTCGAGCTCGTGGTTCGCGGCTCGGCCCATTGACATCCCTAGGTTCTGCATCCCTTCGATCCTAGCGAAGTCCTGGAGGTTCTAGCCTAGCGAGGCTGACGATGGCCTCTTTGAATAGCTAGCATCAACATGGCATGCCAAATGGAAAGAGGTGCAGCACTTTTAGTTCAAAAACTGTTATTGAGAAAAAAAGGGAGTTCATAGAATGAATTGAGGTGAATACTTCATTGATCAGTTGCATTATGAGGTAACGCCTACACTGCTACTGCAAGTTAGAGAAACGGTATCGAGTTTTCAGATTGCTTCAATACATTGTAATTCTTTCCCTAAATTCTTCCTAAACCAGTTGATCAGAATTGTAAGACACTGCCCAATTGAAGGACCAAGCTACAGCAACAAGACTTACAACCTCCCTGACCGAACCCACAAATGGGGAGTGTCAACCTTCCTGTTATTTTAGCAAAATTCTAAATTGAATTATTTCAATTATCATTATCGTTCTATAGTATACATCCCTTCAGATGCTTTACATGTTATGAGCCATGAAATAGCCCTGGAATAAATTGTGGAAGGTTATAAACTTAGAAATTCAGAGATGATCTTGAGTCTAACCAAATGAATACTCATTTTCAATCTTGCATTTATACAATAAAATATTTTACATATAAATCTAAAATTTTAACCATGCATTATCCAAAAATCGCTATTTAAATTTTGAAGAGTTCATTTTCTCGAAATAATGACCATCATACACAAAAATGTAGTCAATAAATACTTAAATATTCTAAGCTAAGTGGAGAATCCCACTACATCATAGTGGACAAAAAACAGACCAGAATGAAGAAATTCACTTATAATTCATTCCATCCACAGAGAAATTGCAAAATGAGACTGAGAAATTAAGAACAACAGTTTACCAGAAGCAGCAGAATGAAAAGTACAATGGTTCTAGGTATAAACAGGCTTGCTTACATACCAACAACAGTAGAACAAATTACATACAAACTAACTGAAAGAGAAACCAAGTCAATTAAATTCAATAATAGCTGCCCCCAAAGATTAGGCCTTCTTGGGAGATTTAGTTGCCTTGGTAGGGGATTTTGTAGGCTCCTTCCCGGCCTTCTCAGATTTCTTGGGCAGAAGTACTGGATTGATGTTTGGTAGCACTCCTCCATAAGCAATTGTCACTCCGGCTAGAAGTTTTCCGAGCTCCTCATCGTTCCTCACGGCGAGTAGCACATGCCTTGGTATGATCCTGTTTTTCTTGTTATCTCTGGCTGCGTTGCCAGCCAATTCCAAAACCTGGAACAGAATTTCAATGAATTCACATTTTTTTCTTCAAGGGGATAAATTCATCTATATTTTATATTGTCACAATGATGTTTTGTTTACGATTACTCTTGTAGTTGAGATTAGAGAGATTAGGGCATATGTAATGAACCTAAAGTTAACCCTAAATCCAGGTGCTTAATCTAATTTCTCCAAAGGTAACCATCTACACAACAGAGAGATATTGACTCGTGTAATTCAAGAAAACCAGCTCAAATCAAGCACATAATTTTAATAAGACAGTTCAATTACTGTTCTTCTCTAATTAATTAGTACCAGTTAACTTGCCAAAAAGCTAAGGATTCAACAAAACTCACGAAGTACATAATAATTCAACATAAAAATTACCTTTACAACAATAATCCATATAAAATTTGAAATGCAAGCAAATATTGAGGTGACAAGAGTTTTCATACCTCAGCAGCAAGGTACTCGAGGACAGCAGCCATATAAACCGGAGCTCCAGTACCGACACGCTGCGAATAGCGACCTTTCTTCAAGTACCGGCCGATCCTGCCGACCGGAAACTGTAGACCGGCCTTGACGGAGCGAGAAACAGGCTTCTTCTTTGGGCCGCCACCCCTTCTCCCTCCCGCTCCCTTCTTCAGTTTACCACCAGTATCCATTACAAATTCTATTCACTGCAAACAGTATCCCTAAAAATGGGTTTTTGTGAATCAAAATAATGCTTGAGATAAAGAGGCAAACTGTGCCTTCCGATCCAATAATGCAGACACTTGGGCGTCGTGAGTGGGTTAAGTAACAAGTGCCTTTGGACTAGGATGGGGTGGGTGAAGTACTTGCAGCGTTGGATTGGATCTTATCAACGGTTGTGAAAGAAAGGAGTGGCTATCCGTGTGCTTTGAAATGGACCAATCAGCCTGAGACATTGTTTAAGGGAATTATACGAAAAGAAAAACGATTGAAATGGTTGAAGAAGTCTTCACCTCATATTTGTAGGGATGTAAATGGATCGGATATGAATCAAATTTGATCTGTTTCGATAATCAAAGAGATATTTGATTATTAAATTCATATCTAATTTGTTATATTATCGAGTATCCGATCCGATAAGCCTATCCAAAATTGAAAAAATTAAAAAGATAAAAATTTTAGGGAAAAATACCAACAACTCTAGGATTAAAGAGTAGTTTTCATAAATAAGGGGGTTAAATTTAAAATTCAAATTTCATGTGTTAATTACAATTATTGATTTAATATTATATCAAATAAATATATTACTAATAATTCAATCCACCACATCCAATCCTTCACTCCCACACACACTACCACTCTCATCCTCTCTCTCTCTCTTGCTTTATATCTCATTCTTCGTCCCCTTTCTCTCTCCCTGACTATATATTTTGTATATCTATCATCAATTCGACAACCACCCACCACGACGATGTCGTGAGAGCTACTGATGATGACTTGCAACTTGCGGTGAGGCGTGCCATCAACAGAAGAAGGCATTCTAAGGTGAATTTCCAACTACCGAGGGATCTACATCTGGTGTCGGATCCATTCAAAGCCTCAGTAGAAAGTGTGAATAAGATGGGATTGGAGGATGATCTGTTCGAGTCTTGTGTTTTTCAAAGTTGTTAGTGGTCCTTCTGTTATGGTGTGATGCCTGTGATGTGGTGGTGGTTAGTATTTGTTAAAGGTGTTGGTGGAAGTGATCGTGATGGTGTTTGTTTTTGTGGATTTGAAGTAAAGGTCGACTGGAGTTGAAAGTGGTAGTGGTGGTGGCGATGAGTGGTCATGGATTGTGGTGTTGGTCTTTGGTGTACGTAGATTTATTTGTGATGATCCTATGTGATTAAATATGTGTTTATTGTGACCGGATGTGACTAACTTTGTCTTCATTGTGACTGTTAGTAACCAGATTAATGGTGAGTCGCAAATTCGACGAATTTGGTCATAGATAGTTACACTAAAGATAAATTTGATCACAATTAGTCACATCTAATACATGTCTGTGATTGTAGTATTTATGGTCATAGATTTGAGTTGAACGTGATAGTAGTGGTGCATTAGAGGTGATGTGTTGGTGACTGGTGGTGGATTGTGTTGTTGTAATGCGGTGTGTGTAGATTTGTTCGTGGTAACCCTCCATGATCAAGTATGTGTTTATTATGACTAGTTGTAACCAATTTTGCATTAATTGTGACTTGTTGTAATTTGGTCACATACCTTCACCGTTAAGATTGATTTTGTTACAAAGTCACATATAAACCAGGTATAGTCACAAACTATAAATTTTATCACAGATAACACCATTAGTCACGAATTCGGTCACCCATAGAGTACTACTACCACTACCACGATTTACGAAAATTTTTCTACAGTGGGGATGGAATGAGGTATTGAGAGAAATTGTTTTCAATTTTTGAAAGATTTTCTACCTGACGTAGGGTGGGGGGTATAAGGTGTTTCGTGGGGATGGGAGTGTAGTATCCAGTTTTTAATGTTTGAAAAATTTATGGGGGATGGGAAGGGGTAGGGTGGTTCCATGAGGATGGGGTGTAATTTTCAATTTTTAATTTCTGAAATTTTTTCGGGAGGTGGGGTCGGTCGAGGGAGTGGTCTAGGGGTGGGGGATATTGTTCATTGAAATGTTATTAATTTGGTAGGAGGGGGTGGTATTATTGGGGTGGGATAATTAATTTTAATTATATATATACTCCCTCCGTCCCAATTATATAGACTTATTTCATTTATCACACGGATTAAGAGTTGAAAAATTAATTTTTGCCAATATTTTTTCCTAGTTTATCCCTATTTAATTTTCAGTATATAGTAATAAATTATTGTTGAAATTAGTAAAGAATTTGAATAATTTAATTTGAAAGAAGAAGAAATGAGAGTTGTTTCATATTTCCAAGAAATAGGAAATGTGTCTATTTAGATGATTTCAAGAAGCTAACATATTAAGTGGGAAAAATCAAGTAAGGGTATATTGGTAAAGGAATAAAACAAAATATTCTAAAATTAGGAAGCATGCCTATATATTTGCGACAAGAGAAAAAGGAAAATTGAAATTAATACCTGAATTTTGAAATAACTTTACAAATTTGTTAGTTTTGAAATGTAATTCTCATATGTGAGAGTTATGTATTGTTCCCAAAATTTTATTTAGTCAACTTCTGGATCGTAGAATTAAAAGGCCAAAATAGCTTTTTAATGTGAAAAGTGAGAAGTTGAGAATAATGAAAGTAATGCCAACTATTGGTTCCGTTGGTTGTTTAATATATAATATAAATTAATTATTATTTTTATGTTATTTTAATTAATAAAAAATTAAATATCTTCAAATACTTCAATTAACAATATTATACTATTATATAATATTATTTATTATTTGAAATTTATGTGTAGAGTACAATACAAGTTTCAAAATGGAAAAAAAAATGTGTGTAATGAATTATGCGATAATATATAAAATATATCACATTATATTAAAAAAAAAATGGATCGGATTGATTTATATACATATTTGCTTCATTTAGTTATCGGATTCGAATCATGATCGAATTATCAAACTGAGACCCTCAATTCATCCCCCATTAATTTCATCGGATTTGGATCGAATTTAAATCAAATTCCAATCTATTGATAACCCTTCCCGTTTGTCTATCATTCTTGAAAAACTCTCTTTTTACACATACTCCAATCTATTGACAACACATATTCTCCTAATAATATTTCACACATAAGTCCCAAAATCTCTTAAAATATATTTATAAATAATTTATTTTCTTTCCCAAGGACCCTCCAACCCCACAACTCCCCATCGAAACCATCACCAAGACTTCGCAACTCATCAACTTGCCCTCATCACCACCACCACCTTCACTCTCACATTCTACCAACCATCACCGCATTCCCCAAAATTGTCAAACCCCCAATATGTAAAATAGAAGAAAAAATCCCATTCTATCACAGCCATCGCTAACCCTACATACACCAAGCGGCCTAAACCTTTAGGTTTCTACTCATAGAATTATGCTTTTAAATTAATCCAATTAGGAACAATCACAAATCAATCTCTCCCAGATCATCTACCCCACCAATCAGCATCTTTCCTAACCAATCATGCTCGGCTATGTTCCTGCGTGAATATTAGCAATCACCTGTTTTACCCAATGTTTACCGTGAGCATGATAAATAGTACACTAGATGTGCATCTTTTCCGATCCTATCGTACTATCACCCCCAAAATATTTCAAATTAAACATCCCATGAACTCCTTTTCCAGTAGAGGAGAAGGAGAAAAACCCTCCACCAATCATAGGTATTTCGATTTTCTAGTAAGCAAATAATTACTCTTGCTACACATTTGGCATCATACCTCAACTTCTTGAACCTGATTCCACGACATTTCATCGAACCTTCAAAATATTAAGTCCCTATTTGGTCATTAATTGGCAAAAACAAAGTTTTGAATAGTGAATTTTTGGAGAATGAGTGGTTGAAAAATAGGAAAAATTTTGGGTTTATATGTAGAAAATTTTATTGTGTGAATATATGGTTGAAAATAAGTAGCTGCAAAAAGAGTTTTAAAATAAATGGTGTCGATCAAGAGCTAAACATCGTTTTAAAAATTTGCTAAAACTTGATTTATTTTACTACACACTAGAGATATTATTTGAATTTTTTTTTTTTTTAAAGGTAGAGAATAAGACCTATGTCCCATGAATTTTTTTTTTTTTTAAAGGTAGAGAATAAGACCTATGTCCCATGAATTTTTTTTTTTTTTTTTATTCAGGTTTTCGTCTGTCCAAAAATTTTCTTAGTAATGTTACATTATGCCAATCTGGATAAATATAATTAACTAATGCTGTTAAATATATTTTACTAAGTCCTTTATTAATTAATCTATTAACTATTAGAAGTAAATTATTATATTGCTCTAATTTATTATCTTTTATGCCTGCCGTGGATTATTTTATCACTCAGACATTATACTTTAGGACAGACTCAAAGCAGCGTGGTCGGTCCAAATTATCCCCCACTTTAACTTTGTTTCTTTAATTTGACAAAGTGAGGATAAGAAAATGAGTGATTATATTCGTATCAATTCTCTTATAAATAAATTATATTTTATTTACATTACAGATTATTAATATTTATACATTAACACGTTTACATTCTTAACTTTTTTCTTTACATTCTTATTTTTAATATTTTATTAAGAAAATATTGTTCTTAATAATGTACTTTAAAATGATGATCAAATATTTAATCACATTTTTACATTATTATTCTTTTTTCCTACTATATAAAAAATGAGAATGTGAGGGCACTGTAGAAAGCAACAGTGTCTTGATCCATCTTTACTGTAGCATTTTTGTTTTTTTTTTTTCAATTGGGGTCCAAAAACGACGCCGTTTGTTAGATATATATTTTATTTTATTATACACTACCTCCAAGTTTACTGCAACACGCAATTTTCATTCCTCCCTCACTCCAATATAGATATATATATAGTAGGGATATAAGAAAAAAATCATTTTTGTATAAAAAAAAGAAAAAAAGATAGAGATAATATAAGACAGGAATTTTTTTTACAACATATTACTTGTACGTAAAAAAATCTGAAGAGAAAAGAATTAAAGAGAATTTTAAATTGAAAAAAAAATTATTACGTAAAATTACACAGAAAAAAAACTCTCTCTGTGCACGGAGCAAAAGCCACCGTGCACGAAAGAAAAAAAAATAATAATTTTAGGAAACCTCCGTGCACGGAG